TTCATCATGTTGCTATAAGGTAGAAAGAAAATTCAGTGTGTGTTACAAACCAAAGGAAAAGGAGAAAAATAACTACTTTTTCTAAGGTTAAAATAATAGATTCATTTGTCAAAAGGCATGCCAAATATATGTGTATAATAATGAAGGGCTTATGCCAGGTAAGTAGGAATTTTGGCATAGAAAAGATATAACTGATTCATTTGTACTTTAAATTGTTGTGTATTATCAAACCAACTTAATGAAGTACTGTATTTAGCAAAATTTTAGTTCGGCTATATTAGGTACATTTGGATCTTTGAATTCCTGCTTGCAGTAATTAAAGGCGATTCTGTATTTTATGTGTGCTGGCTTGATTGGTTATAAGTTCAAAAAGAAAATTTAAGGTAGATGTATTTATTCTCTAGGCCTCACTGTCCAGTAAGGTAGCCACTAGCTACATATGACTATAGAACATTTGAAATATAGCTGGTGGTCTTATTAAGGTGTTAAGTACACTCAGTTTTGAAGACTTAGTACAGGAGGTCCATGTAAAATATTTCATTATTTTTATGTTGACTAAATGTTAATATTTATAGTTATATAATATTTTGTAAATACTGGGTTAGATATAATGAATTTCACCTGCTTTTTACCTTTTTAATGTGGCTACTAGAAAATTTAAATTATAGCTTGTATTACATTTTTGTTGGATAGCATTGTTCTAGGCTGTTGCATGGTCCAAGCAATATGTGATGAGGGTCTAGACTGGGATAGTTAGGGCACTGAGAATAGCTAAGGAAAGAGAATTGAGATGAACTGTAACATAGTCTGTAGTGCTTGGTAATTGATTCCATGTGATGGTTAAGGGGATGTCAAAGATAACTATAAGGTTTTTGATTTGGATGATAAATGAATGGTAATGTCATTACCAAGAAAGGGAACATGAGAGGAAGAGGGGGTACAGATAATAGCAATTTTTATTTCACTGTATGTATATCTCACCAAATTCATTGAAACATTTAGTGTTTAAACCTTATAAGATGGTCATGTTTAAGACTATTCTCTCCTGTTCCCACCGCCTTGCCTATCTTTCCAGGATTTGAATTCAGAAGATCAAAAAACGTCCAGTATTGAACATGTAAGCTGCAGTGAGGGAGAAGATTTTGCAAATGTGAAAAAGAAAGCTAAAATAGACATTCGTTACAAAAACAGTCCCCTTCAATTCACTGTTCCAGTTAGCAGACAAACTATAGAATCTCATCTTAATGAAAACATCTATAGTTCGACTTCTTTTAAAGATGAGAAAATCATAGAGACTGATAGTGAGCCAGAAGAAGGTGAAATTACAGACTCTCAGACTGAGGACAGTTATGATGAAGACATTACCAGTGAAAACAATGAAACTGCAGAAGATACTGAGGATGAAGGTGAGCAAATACATTTTACATAAATAACCCAGTCTGGTCATTGTAAAAGAACAATACAGTTAAAAATGTGTTATTAACTCATGTAGTATATCTGCCAAAAAGTAAACTGATTGTTTTAGTGACATTATGAAAATTACATGGGCTACCACTTGGTTATTTTCAAGATGTAGGGTATGAATAAATTACTAATAATGGGACCTTGAAGGTTGGTTGCATTGAATTGCCTAGACAATAGAGTACAAAATCAATTTACCTACATTCTGATCCTGAAGAATGTATTAAGTCTGTTTTAGTGTGTTAGATATTTGTCATACTTTTGTAATTGAGGTGGGGAAAGGCAAATTAACTTTAAAAAGTATAGACCATTGGTAGTACAACATGGAGAATATAGTTAATCGTTCTGTAACATCTTAGGACGATGATAGATAGTGACTGCACTAGAGGGGGTTAGGATTTAATAATATGGGTAACTGTTGAACCACAGTGTTGTATATTGAAACAACCGTAAGATTGTATATCAATGATACTTTAATAAAATAAATAAATAAAGGGATTGCAGCTGTTTTAAAAAAAAAATGTAGTCCATGAATTCAGCTACATAGGTATTATAGTAAGTCTTTGTTTATTTGAGGATATAAAGATATACTTTTAAAACTCAGGATTTCGTATTGGGAGTACATGAGCTTATTTTGTTCTTAATGTAATTTCACTTTTTTTAAAAAAGGTAGATTCAATTTTTCTAACATAATATAAAATGCTTGTTTGGGATATTTTCAAATTCCAAGACCCTAAAAAAGAGAGAGTTGATTTTTTAACAATTGTGATAGATGCTGAATTTGCTGAATACCTTTAGGTTGATCACTTTAAGTTGATAACAGTGTTAAGCCTTACTCATTGTGTGTGTCATTTTGCAGAATTTAAGAAGGTTGTTTTAAATAGAATTAAGATATTTTTATCAGTAAATTTTTATTTTATGGATGCCTACTACTCATATCTAGACATTTCTATTTTTTTCCATAGCATTTGAATTAATATTTACCCACTTTTTCTTTGGCAGATGAAGAAAAAATTTGGCCCCCATGTATTAGAGTAATTGTTATTAGATCACCAGTATTGCAGACAGGATCCCTGTTTATCATTACAGCTGTAAACCCTGCTACAATTGGAAGGTAAGCATGTTTACTATTATTATATTTGTATATTTGACTTACTCCAGTAGATTGTGCATTTCTTTGAGTAGTTATCATGAAATATGCATGGTGTTTGTTGAATAGGCAAAAAAAATGACATCCATGTCCTTCCCTCTCCTACTCAGTATTATTGACATTTACCTTTTGTTGTTTGCTTTTGGAAGTCAGTTAAGGATACAACTTCATAATCCCTTAAGGGGACTGCCTATGTAAAGATAAAATTTTGATGATGCTTTCTACAGAAATTTTATCATTTTCTTACCCTTTGTACTGCCCTTTTTAGGTTTAAATAACTTAAGCCTGGTATTGGGGGTCTTCTCTGCTTCTTTTCCTTTACTGCTTTGTAACTCATAATCAGCTTGTAGAGAGGTAGATTTTAATCTGGAGTAGGATAATTTCATTTCTTCCCAGTGGGAAAGACAGTCTATCCTTAATTCATACTCTACACAATTTCTTCATCTTAAATTCTTGAAGAATAGTATGCTCTTTTTACCTGTAGTAATAGAAGTGGAAACAGTCAACAGATCTGGATAAATATAAAGGATATTTTGTCCCACTGGCTGTTTATTAGCCTGGAGTAGAGGTACTGAAGAATAAAAGTAATTCTGAACCTCTTTCCAAACAGGAAATTTAGAATAGAATTAAGAAAACTGGACTTAAGAGTGATAGACTTGCATTTTAACATTATCTTTTTTTTGTTTTTGTTTCTTTAACATTATCTTTAAAAAATAGAAAACCTATCTTTAAAAAAGAATTCTTTCCATGTCACTGTAAGTGCTGCATTTATATATATGTTTCAGAAATTATTAAAGACATTTTACTTAACTCTGCAGAGAAAAAGATATGGAACATACTCTCCGAATCCCTGAAGTTGGTGTCAGTAAGGTAAGCTCTTTGATTTTTCAAAGATAGCCCCTTAGGTGTAATTTTATAAATTATGGCAGAAGGCTTAGGGATTTTCCCATTTAAAAAAAAGGTTAATAGTCAATGTAGTAATGGTAATGAAAGCAATTCAGGTTTATTCTACTGCTTGAAAAAATAATTCCTTATTACAATTTGTATCACAATTTGGTTTAACTATGTTATGTTTAATTTTTAACAGTCTGGAACAGGAGTAGAAAATGTGAATTAATTTAAGTATTAAAGTAATACCTATTTATAACAAATACTTATTGAATGAAATAAATATGCTGGATATTATGACAGTTCAAAAATGAATCAGACCTTCATTCAGGCTACTTTAGTAGATGGTTACTTTGAGTCCAGAGTATTTTACAACCCAAGAACAGTTTATTCTCTATCACCCAGGGCTCTCCATTCACACATTTTCCTAGTTGAATCTCTAAAAATGCAGAAAAAAGATGGTTGGGTTTTGAAAGCAATAAGAAAAGAGTTGCAACTTAAGCTATCAGTAGAAAAAATCAAATGTTAAGCTGCTGAGCTCTTCATACTTCAGATTTATCTTTTCCTTTACTATATTTTTTGTAGTTTTCCCCTTCCTTCTGTGGTTATTATCATTTTCCTGTTTTTTTTGACCATTCATCATCCCCGTTTTGTTACTATTTAGTAGACTATAACATCGATCTCAAGTATATATTTTATGTGATTTTTGTCTTTTTGGAATGAAATTTGTTTCCCATTGCTTGAAAGTCCAAATGTTTTTACTTTATTTGGACTCATTCATAGGGGAGAAAATCCTCATAATCTTAAATCTGACCAAATTATCTTTTTTTTTTTAACTTCCTTATGACCCTTCATTCTTCTGCATCCGAAGAAAACCCAGTCTGTAACTTAAATAGCAAAGAAGTCCTTCTCTCACTCCAATCTAAATATAGGTAGTTCTCTGGTGGCATTTCAGCTTTTTCTTTCTTTGAAACAAACATGTCCACTGATGGGGTAGATAATTTGTTAGCTATGTGAAATCAGTTTGACAATATATATCACACATATCCAGGTAGATGAAAAAAATTAAATAAATGCGCTTCTACATTTAGTATTAATATTAGGGGGAAAAAAACAGAAATGTTTAAGCACTGGATACAAGACTTTCTTAGTTCAAAAAAAAAAATCATAGATGGCCAGATAATATTGAGTAATTTAAAATTTGAAACTGTACGTCAAACAAATTTAAAAGGCAGATGAGGACAGTCAGACAAATATGACAAAATATATATCCTTTATATTTTAAAAGCTCATACAAATGCATTTTTTCAAACCCCACTGTGACACCAATAGGTAAATGAGTAAAGGACACAAATAATTTAAAATAAAGGAAATGCCATGGTTAATATATGAAAACCATTAGATCTTCCTAGTAATTTAAGAAATATAAATGAAGCCTAGATAATGGTTTTCATTCATATTTATTAAGTATCATTCCTATTAGAGCATAATTTAGAAAAGCTCTTTGAAATGATGTTTCAAGTCAAAAAACTTGAAACTGTTTAAATATTTTGTTATAGTTACCATTCTAAATAAACCCAATTGAAAAAATTCAACAAAGGACATAAAGAGAAAATTTACAGAAGAGAAAACCTAAATGGCTAAGAATATAAGAAAAGGTTTAACCTCAATAGTAATCAGAGAAATGCAAATTAAAGTCACAATGATGAGATCTAATTTCATACTTATTATGCTTGCAAAAACTAAAAATTCTGGTATTCAATATCAAGTATTGAATAAGTCTACATAAAGCAACAGAGTTCTTACAGACTGCTGTTGGGAATGTAGATTAATATAATCACTTTGGAAAACAATATGGCAATATGTAATAAAATTTAAGATTTATATATCCTATGGCTTAGCAATTTTATTCCTAAGTATATGTCCCAGAGAAAGATTTGTTTGTCCACAAGAAGGATGGCAAATATAAGAACCTTCAAAGAAACATTTTTTAGAAATAATAAAACTTTGGAAAAAACCTGGATGTCCATCATCAGAAGAATATATAGATTGGGTACATCCATACAGTGGGTTACCATTCAGCAAAATGGCACAAGTGTGCACCACAACTAAACGCACCTCACAATATAATACCCAAAGAAATGAAATATATATACAGTAGCATGCATTCATCAGAACTCATCAAACTGTATATTTAAGACCCATGTATTTCCTGTATATAAATTAAATCAATAAAAAATTCATGCAGTCTGATTCCCATTTATATCAAGTTCCAAATTAGGTAAAATAAACGTAGTTTATAGATACATACATATTGGTAGAAGTCTAAAGAGATGCATCATGCTTAAATAAACATCAAAAACTTCTGGAAAGGAAGGGTGGGGGATGGACAAAGGGAGATACATATTGATGGATAATAATTTATTTTCTTTTAAATACCTGAGGTAAATATGACACAATTCATTAAAGTTGGGTCATGGGTAGATAAGTCCAATGTAGTCTTTGGTGTATTTAAAGTAAGTTTATGTTTATGAAACTTAAAAAGAACTTTTTTGAGATATAGTCCACATACCATATACGGTGTACCCATCGAAAGTATGTATTTCAAAGGTTTTAACATATGCACAGAGTTGTGTGACCATTACTGCAATCAACTTAATGCCTGAAAGAACTAAAAATTCTGACAATACCATTTCATCATCATGAAAAACATCATACTCTATGGTAGTCACTCCCCATTTTCTGCCAACCTCCTCAGCCTTTGACAGCCACTGTTCTACTTTCTGTCTCTATGGACTTGCCTATTCTGCATATTTCATATAAATGGAATCATGGTAGTCTTTTGTGACTAGCTTTTTCACTTAACATGTCTTCAAGATTCATACATGTTGTAGCATGTATCAGTATTTTAATAGTCAAATATTCCATTGTATGGGTATATTACATTTTGTTTATTCATCGATTAATGGACATTTGCATTGCTTTCACTTTTTCGCTACTAAGAATAATGCTGCTTTGAACGTTCATGTA